AAGCTTTCGTGGGTAAGAACCTCACTTCTTCCGAAAGCTTATGCTCCCAATACTTCTGTTAGTCTTAAAGGTGCCACAGGACCCTCTGTAGGTTTATAAAGGAGTGTTTTATACTCTCAGCTATGGTGTTATTAACACAGCTCCATAACCCATCACACAAACGCTCCTCAGGATTAACTGACAGACTGTGTTTGATACTTACACCACTCTGCCCCCTGCTGGTTATCCTGCCTTCTCATTCGCTCCCAGAGATTATCCACCTAATCCCTTTGCAAATCTACATGTATTTGAAGGATACAAGTGCCAAATAGGAAGAAGAATTCTTTAGGCTGGGCCACCTCAGACCATCTCACCCTAACATTCTGGCTTTCCTGTGACCCCCTCAATGCCAACTGACAGAGGACCACCCATACTGTAACTCCCATAAGGCCTAACATACTCATTGCCCCAGCACACTGTCATAATATGTATGTAAAAGGTGTCATGGAAGGTATCATATGTCAACTGGTGACAAGCAGGTCCCGAAAGTCACCACATGATGTATGTACGGGGTGTAAAAGAGTTATAGACACGTGCTGGAAATATTATCTTGAAATGTGTTTGGGCGGCAGTGTATAAACTCAGCCTGCTTTAGAGACCGGAATATGCATTTACCCACGTGACAAGCTTGGATACAGGCAGAGGACAATGCAAGTATCTTTACATATAAGCTAAACAAAGCCATCAAGCTAAACAAGTGAGGAGAAGATCATTTAACAATCACGGTGGGGGACAGAAACCCCAGGAATCCTTCCTGGCTCTCAAGGCAGAGACAATAGACTTTGGGTAATATAAGGGGAGCAAAGAGACCTTTTTAGTGATCCATCTCTGAGGGGATCTAAGGTACAGCACCCTTCGAGGCTGTAAAAGTTGGGTCCCATAGTGTGGAGGGCTGGGGATGCTGGTAACTTGATGTGAGAAAGAAAATGGCGCAGGCAAAGATTGCAACTTGCGTGGGGGTTTTTTTTGTTTGGAACCACCCATCTCTTTCTTTTGCTTTGTATCTCTTCTTTGTTAATAAATCTCTTCTTGTTCTATTAAAAAACCATCTCAGCGCTGTGTGGATTAAAGAGAAGTGTGAGTCTTCAGCTAATCTAATCAGCTGATGTGTGCTCTGTCCCCACGGAAGGAGCGAATTTAGTAATGTCCGAGAGTGTCCAGTGAGAGGGGCCGGACGCTGCAGGGAGATAGCTCTGGGGAACTCGGGTTCACTGATTGTTACCTGCAAGGCAAGGCTTTGACTGATCGAGTTTAGATGAGTTTGCTGGTCAGGCTGGTGTATCAGGGAACTGACGCACACAGGGCTGTGCAGCAGCAAAGCTCTCGCTCTTGCTAAGGCAGAGGGGTAACACAGTGGCTCACAGTTCTGGGTATCACGGGCACGGTGTAACAAGTCACATGTCACTATTCAACCCACTTTCTAAAGCATGAGAGGTTTTTGCTGCAGCAATTTGGACTCTCCAAAGTTTAGAGAAGGAGGGATTTAAGGAGGCTCTAAGAGGAGGAATGACGGCAGCTGGGATAGGAAGTGATTGTAGACATCTTGCTAGGGAGTAAGACCTTTGTTATTGAGCTCCGTAGGTTGGGGAGTGGTTCATGGAGCTCTCTGAATAGATGTCACAGGTGATCCCCACATCCTCGCTGGAATTTAAAGGGTAATAGCCTAAGTCCCAACTGAGCATCTTTTCTTTTTTTAAATAGTACGATTTAGCATCAGAAACCACCTCAGGTGTCCCCCCCCCGCACCACTCCACAGCTTCATCCCATCCACCCCACCCCCCATTACTCACACAATCCACCACCATCTTGCCCAGCTCTTTGGCCCCAAAGACTGTCTTGGCCAGCTCCCAAGGGTTGGAGGGGCGGAAGACATCCACGGAGCTCACCGGGACCTGCGGAGGCCTCCCCGTCCCAAGGGAGATCACCACTCCCAATTTCCGCACCTGCTGGCTCTGCCCCTTTGGAGGATGGAGAAACCAATTTTTGTTAGCATGAATCCACAGTATTACCCCCTAAAAATACACAAACAGGATGGGGGGGGGGAGGGGATTCATAAGTTGCTGTCCCCATTTCATTGCCCAGATCCTTGAGCTGATAATACTGGGGACCTGTATGGATCAAGAGATTGAGGATTACATAAGATC